ACATTGTGCCTCATTAGACTACAGATAGTTCATGGTTATAGCGACTTACCTTGATTATAACCCTGTCTTTCACTTTGTCGAGTGTTATGACTTTGTTCGGGTAGAAAACACTTTCAATGATGTTGATCTCTTCGTTTTGATCGTTTACCATCGTGAAGATTTTAAACATTGCTGAAAAATGTAGCATTATCAGAGTTACCAAATGACCAAATGCTCATCAATCATGAAATAAACCATCGAGGAAAAATATTGTGATGTGCGAAAGTCTGAATGACATTTAATGCAAAATAGCTTGAATATATAGAAGATATTATAGATATTCAGATTGTTTGAATGTAGGATCTAGACTAGGTCCAATAACCTTAATCAGATAATTTAATTGTATGAAGAACTTTTTATTATTATTTGCTGTTGTTGTTTATTTGGTTGAGACATKTTATGATTATTCAAAATAAAAATGGAGAAATATCTTGATAGATAGATAGAAAGAAGGAAAGGTCAAGGGCGGCGGAACCAAAATTGACTTTGGGGGGGGGGGGGGGTTACAATCATAGACCTATAGTGATGACGTTACATGGACTTTTGCAAATGAATTATTGAATATTTCGAGCCGTTGAGCCGTTATGTGGAGGGACCAGCTCCACAAAATATTTTGTGGAAGGCCTGTCCACCCCCGGTTGACCGATACGGTGATTTACTGAGATGACACATCGCCTTTGTGGATCGGACTTCCGGCAAATGAGCGAGAACTGTTTTCCGGTACACTCTAACATACATACCTTTATCATCACTTGCGCCAAGACACAGGTTATATTTTGTTCTGTTTGCCAATTCAATTCTCCAGTAATAACCAATCAATCCTCCAACTTGCTTGAGCTGAAGCAATTTGCATTTACCACTTGATGTGAATAACTGATCGCTAACAATGATGACTGAAGGGAGCTCGATGATAAACGACTCTTTCTCCTTAATGATAAATGGAAAAAAGTTAGGCTTCTTGGATGACATTTCGTTAGATTATAGATAATGAAAGCCGAACTAGACTGAGTGCGATAGTAAAATATACGAATGAACGTGGCAAGACGCAACGTGGTATGTAATCGGATGCACTCACCTTGCCATTCCCTATTAAGTTAGATCGTTGCTAAAACTACCCACAAGTCACATACGACTACATACGAGTAACATACGACTACATACAACTACATACGACTACATACGGGTTACATACGAGTAACATACGACTGCATACAGGTTACATACGAGTAACATACGACTACATACGAGTATATAAAATAAAAAAAAACTTMATACAAAAATAACCATCATGAAAATAATCCGGGACCCTGACAGAGTATCACGAAAAACTATATGCCGATCGAGAGTTAAAATAATTCACCAAAATCACAGTAGAATGTAAATCCAGTCTTATCAAAGATGCTTATACTGTATTTAGAYGTAGATAGTCTTCCTTTTGAGCACATTCAGTTGACTATTCAAGCTTTTTCGCCGCTCGGCATAGCATATTACAAAATGTCAAGGGCAAAAACTATATATACGGGAGTCAAAATAATTTACCAAAATCGGCATAGCCTCGAGCCAAATATTTTCCCGTACGGCCCTCCAACTTACTCAATAAGTACATAGTATTTAGGTGCAGATAGTCTTCCTTTTGACCAAATTAGTTGAGCTTCCTTTGTTCGTTGAACAGAAAACGATTAAACTAAAAAGAGAGTAAAGTATCTATAATTCGACATTAATGACATTTTCAGATTTTTTTCGACTGGATTTACATTCTCCCGTGATTTCGCCTTTAACTCCCGGACAAATAGTTTTTMTTGACATTCTGTCCAAGAGTTCGTCCACAGAGACGTGAAAAACCTATAAGTGTCACATCGATTGTACGCTATGCCGAGCGACGAAGAAGCTTTGAATTATCAGCTGAATTTGGTCAAAAGGAAGACTATTCTACATACATAAATACAGTAAAGTACCTTTGATTATACTGGATTTACATTCTACTGTGATTTTGGTGAATTATTTTGACTACCGGACATATAGTTTTTCTTGATACTCTGTCAGGGTCCCGGACCGATATAGACGAATTATTTTCATGATGGTTATTTTTGTATTAAGTTTTTTTTTTTATTTTATATACTCGTATGTAGTCGTATGTTACTCGTATGTAACCTGTATGTAGTCGTATGTTACTCGTATGTAACCCGTATGTAGTCGTATGTAGTTGTATGTAGTCGTCTGTTACTCGTATGTGACTTGTGGGTAGTTTTAGCAACGATCTATTAAACTATATTAATCAATAACGACTAATATCACTTAATTTATATATACAAAATCAGCAACAACACAAAGATAAATGGCGTGACAATTTTCAAAATAAAAATGAGCTGCTATCCGTACTTGGTTGAGGTGCCTTCGATTGAAATATTTTACATAATGTCACATGGATGGCTCCACGCAGATTCACCATATTATTGCCTTGATTGTTATACTGCTGTCAATACTAGGCCGGTTCCAATTTGGTGTTGTAAAAGGAATTGATCAGAAATTGATCGAGTCTAATTATCTCAGTCTTAATCATTATAGAAACCTACCTCGTCCTTAGATTTGGAATCAACTTCAATTTTTGCAATCTCCATGGCACATGCAATTCAGTGTAGGGTAGTATCTTAGTATCGTCAGTTTTCAGTCCAACTTATAACTAAACTAACGAGATCCTTACTGCCCTCTTATAAAGGCCCGTTATCGACAATTTGTTGGCAAGTCTAAGAAACCTTGTGTTATTATGGAAGTTGTTTTCCCTTTAAGGCAATTCTACATGTGTTTCGGCATCAGACGAGTTAAAACGAAATGTTTACCACCCACGTCTTCAAGTTGACAACGTAATAAATACGTCAAAAGTCAGAAATAGTCATTTGACAGGAAAAAATAACTTCGATATGTTTGCTTCTGTCTTGTAGAAACCAAAATTCAAAATTGCAGTTTCATTTTTTTGTTTCAGGTTCTTTGGCATATCTATATAGTAAACATAATCATACCATATTAAAATTAAGTCAATCATACCATATTAAGTCAAAAGACCATTTTCATGGAAATGGCCTCAGTTTTCTTGAACTAATAACTTTAAGGGTCATCGAAGTCTCTCTTTCTCAAAGGGTGCGCAAAATTTAACCTTTGTTCGCACGTAGMAATACAGGTGCTCGCTTGCTTGCAGAATATATATTACAGCTGTACGAGGCATGCTCAAATATGTTAACAACGTGTATTCTAAAATCTGGCTGCTACCAGGAGGAACATTTGACAAACTGCTCATCTCACCATGCATGGAAGACAGTGTGTTCATTAACTCGTAAAAACCATTAGATACAGTATTGCGGGCCACATATATATTTTTGCCTTAAAATAATACATTAACAACATCCCTACAGTAGACAAACATGATCTTAGCACTCCAACAGGGGAACAGACCAGACTGTAACAAAGTATGAAATTAAACTTGCAACTCCAGTCACGCATTACTCAGTGATCCGTTCGATATCTACCACTGACTTTCAGATTAAAAATTGACCTTAAATCGTTCTGGCACACTCACTATCTGCCGACTCCATATATGGATGTGCATATACCGTATCACTGATATACATATATCAGCATGCTATTTGGTGATGCGACTTTCACGCCGATGACTGGGGATCAGCACCTGCAGTAGACAGTGCAATCAAAAAAAATATTTTGGACCTGATAAAGATCTCTTTTAATGTTTTTTTCCTTTTCTAGCTTTCCTTCAATAATTTTGATAAAATCAGTTCTTATGTGCATTGAGCAGCGGTCTGTGATAGGGAAGGAAGCCAAGTTTACTCGATTCTCAGTCTTTCTCAAGGGGAAGAACGAACCGCTTTCACCGCTTTAATATAAGAGCAATTTACCAATGTTTGACGCTAAACAAACGCCGCGGTGAAAGGTCAGAGCGACTTCTTTCCTGGCACAATAGCCTATCGAACGGTCAAAACGGGATTGTACATTTTTGTAATTTAAATTTTTACTCCCACAACCCCCATCATTCATCTTCAAATGACACAAACAATGATTAAGCTAGAAGTATAGTTCAGTATATTTGTATTAATAATGTGTTTATATAAATCTTTAAGCGCTTTACGCAGCACTTGTTATAATATCTTATTAAAACGATGATAGTTTTCATAACGTGTTTCAACTTTGAAAACTGCTTAGAGAATGGTGCATGTTTTCTCAAAATTTTTGATCAGTGATCAGTATTGTAGATTYATATATTGTCCAATTCTGCATAAATTCTAGTCATTTTAGAAATATATTTCATTCTCAAAAATCAACCTTTTAATCTTAAATCATTGATTGGCCGTCTGATTGGCCCCCACCTTATCCAGACAAGCAGTCTATTTGTGTATATTGAAAATGGTAAAAGCTGACAGCTGTTGCCATGGTAACAAATGTTCATCGTTGTCAAGGAAACCATGCCAACCAATGCTCAAGTGATATCTAAATTAGAGTCCTTCGAGGCAGATAACGATTTGTTGCTTTTTCGGATCGATAAGAATTTCATCTTGCCTTCAGACGAAGAGGGAAGGTAGCTTTTTCCTGTAGAAAAGAAATGTAGATCAAAATCAACTGAACAAAAAATATATAAAATATCAGATAAAATATCTGACAGCTGTTTTTCAGACCAACATGACCGCCATCTTCAAAATAACAAATACCGCGTACGTGAATGTAGCTTTTCCCCCCTGAAAATTGCAAAGAATTGCACTTAACTGAACTGTATAAGCCGTACTTGAGAAATACGTTAAAAATTTGTTAAATCATAACAATAACAGAGGCGCGCAAAGCATAATGGTGCAAACTGGGCCTTTAATTTTGACTAAAAATATTGCTTAATAGTGATATACTCAAATCTAGAAATTTTTACTTAGAGTTTAATTCACTTGAATTGAATCTTTTAAAAGGATGTCTTTGTTGGTTAACATATTGTCTGTTATCTTAATTACTCTTAGGTTTTATTTCGTTTTCTAAAACTGCATGTATTTTCAGTTTTTAAAGGTGAAGAAACCGAATGAGTGTTCGAAACTAATACAATAAAGAATTGTATGTTGAGTCTGTTATAAGAAAGAGAGGAAACTGAGATAACAACAAGGTACAAAGGAAAGATTATGCAGTAGTGAAATAAAGGAAGACGACAGAGGACAAGGAAGTAATCAAGGGAAGCCAACATTTAGTAAACATACAACAGCAGAAGTACAGACCATTTTTGTTCATAGTTGAAATGATAAATTGGATATAAAATCGAACAAATATCTAAAATACCTCGCTGTTCATACGATTCACTGATTCATTTGATTKATTKATTKATTKATTTATTTCTCATGTTTTTGTGGCAAGTGCCAGGCTATCGCCTTGTTGATTTAAGCTTGGGTTCTCAGTAAATACGTCTAAAGTTATGCACCTAAAGTTATTAGATTGTTTCAATTCAATTTGAAAATTCAATTGTTTGGTTTACTTGCGTGAAAATGAAGACTATAAAATGGAGCCAATGATGACCATAGAATATCTTACGGTAAAAATCAGTTATTTGTTTCCCATTCATTAACAAAACCCATGGCTCCTTTCGGTCGTGCAATTGCCGTTGACAATTGCCATTCGCAATTTTATCCGACAACCTTTTTTGAAATAGGCATATACTAGTCAAAATGCAATGAAAGTCATACCSAAGTCCTTTGTGGTCTTCTTTGAGTAAAAAGGCATTAAAATGATCTCAATGCCCGCGTTCTCTTTAATTAATTCAGTAATAACTGCGGACTGACAAAGCCCGAAGAAAAATGTTTTCGCAGTGTTTTTTTTCAGTCATTCACCGCGAGCGCTGCCTTAGAACACCTGATCACTTAATTGACGGAGGCGAATTGTGCAAACACACAACACTTCCATATAAAGACAGCCAATTAGAAACATGCTGGCTCGTTGATTACCTGCGCATGAAATCATCCTTTTAGCCAGCCACGTGAATGGTTCGTGAAGACTCTTCCTGTCGCCAACACAGACCTCAAATAAGCGAGCTGAATACAAGAAAACAAAAACATTAAACTCATTCAATGAAAAGTGAAATATTAAGACAAATATAACCAAAACAACAACAACAAAACAAAAGCAAACAAATATAAGAGACAGCGCAAAAAAAATTAAAATAAAATAAATAAAATAAATAAACATGTGCTTAAAGAGGTGAGGTGTGGTCAACGTCCAAAAGTAACGAGAAATTTAATAGGAAACCGATAATTAAGTTTTTTTAAATTGGTTCATTTCTCAATTCCCCATAATGAAAAATGTTGCGCAGTCCTTAAGGAAGAATTAAGCAAATATCACAATAATAAAATGTAAAAAAAAACACGTTTTACTAATAAGTAAATATTGTAAGGGAAAGGAAAAGGTGTTGGGTGCTAATCGTCCTTCATGGCAGCAAGGTTGCTGAATTTCGAAAGACGCAGCTCGACGCGCTCTCAAGTCGAAGTGCTATATTACAGACACATTTTACATACACTTACACATAGGCGTGCTGCCGGCTAGGCGCTTCCTTTACATAGCAACGAACGACTGAACGCGGAGCACAGCAGATAGTAGATATTATACTTAGTAGTCACAGTTAAAAAAAACAAATGAACTCTTTTTTAATAATCATAGAGTCGTGCGTGATATCGCTGCATCGTTAACGAGGAAATTTCCTTGACATTACTACGTCAGCATATGAACATACAGGTGATGACAATCTGGAACATAAATTATCATTTATCGTAACATGCGGGGGCAGGGCATYGAGTAATCATCCATATATAGCAAAAAGCTTATATTCCACTTAAAGGGGGGCATCGAATATAAAGCGGTGTTATTAAACAACAAGACCGTAAACGCTCCTGGGATGGATTTCGTAGCTCAAAATAACAGSAAATTGTCGGTAATGGAGAACACTTTACACAAAAGAACGATTGGGTTAATATTTCTAGAATCGTTGGTCCTAGTTGTAGTAAATTTATTCGCTTTGATCGGAAATATCCTGATTTGTCTTGCAGTTTATACAAAGCCTTCTCTTCGCACCATCACAAACATGTTCATTGTAACTCTAGCTATTTCTGATGTGGTGATGGCTTTAGTACCCATGCCGCTGAGCATTGGAGCGCTCGCTTCGAGCGACTGGCCTTATGGATTTACAGCTTGTCAAATTCAAGGTTTTACAATCCATGTACTCGTCTTTCAATCTGTTCAAGTCATTTCGCTGACTGCTCTCAACCGTTACTTTGTCGTTCGTCCTCTACTTCACAAAAGGATGTTCTCAAAAAGAAMGACTTTATCTATGTTAATAACTGTTTTTGTCATATCCTCCGTTGCTATGGCTGGACTCCTCAATTCATCCCACTTCACATTTCATCCTGGGAAAGTAATTTGCGTGTTCACTTTTAAGTCAATGTCACACAGTCAGGCGTTCACAATTTTCTTTGCTTTAACATTCATATTAATCCCACTGGTAATCATAACATTCTGTTACGCGAGGGTTTTTCAAAAGATGCGTAGGCATAAACATGAATTGAAATCAGCTGGTGGGATGCATGATTCATCTTCACGGCTAATTCGACAGGAAGACAAATTATCTAAAATTGTTCTTGCAATTATTCTTGGTTTCGCTGCCTGCTGGATACCATGTGTGATTATTGATATCATTGATACGCGTTATGATGGCTGGCTACCGAGACGAGTATATCTTGTCTACACGTACTTCGGGTTCGCTTCGTGTGCTATTAATCCCTTCTTGTATGGCTGTATGAATCAACAAATTAGAAAAGAAATCAAGCAGATCGTGACATTTGGTACAAAATATTCCATGACTAAATGTTTGCGGTAGACGTACGAAGATGAGATCCATTTTAATAGAAAATTGTAAATACTTTTTTAACCCGATAAACAGCACATCGGGTGAACTAAAGAAATAACGAATTACAAAGAATTTGAGAAAAAGCTGGTAATTACGAAGTCGTTCTGAATTACAGCCACGCCGACTTGCAAGGCGATAGCATAGTGGCTAGAGCCTCGAGGCATTAGCCACAAAAATCTAGGATCTGGAAACAAGTTACTGTACTGTATACCAAGCAGAAGAAAAAAAATAAATCTACCAAATACATTCATTTGTATTGCTATATATACGTTTGTCCACCAATACACAGAGACGCCATTTCGTACAGCAAAGCATGATGGGTATTGTAGTTCTTGTACTTTTTTATGTTCCCCCTGCCAAAGCGTTTTGTGTTTAATATTCAATAACGAAAAAAGGTAAAATTACTGAAATGTTTGCAAAGAAAACACAAAATAGATGTTGTAGTTGCGCAATGGCACGGAATCCCTAGTCCGTCAAAATATTCCCTCTGGAATCCGCCACTTGTATCTTGAATAACACTCTGGATTCGGAGTAATTGGGTGATTGTAGAGTATTTCAAGGGACATGAAATAACGCCAGGAGTACAATCACTGTCATGCTTTGCTCGAGATAATGGCGTCGGTGCACGCATTTCACTGCAGGGGCGTACTAGCGAGAATTGAAATTTTTGAGGCACATTGAAATTTGTTAGAGCTGTCCCATTTACTCAAGATATCATCAGGATATCACCTATGTAGAGATTGCCTAGTATTTCAGATCAAAATGATTACAATTCATACGCACCATTTTTGCTATGATAGGCATAGTTTTTTACGTATTTTTTTTTAAGTCCAACTCAAACTGCAACATAAACGTTTATGTTTACGTTCAGGTGGAGGAATTCCGTATCGTTACAATTAAGGTTGTTGGTTCATTCAAATACCATGAAAAACTTTGATAAAAGAAGAGATTAACAAATCTTAGAGTAAACAATCATCATCTTGCTAAAGTGAAAGTTTCGGATTGCTTATGTTATTTGACACTTGCATGAGAGCAGGTTGGATCTATGCAGAGTGCATGAATTGGTTTAAAAGCATACAGATGTTACTAAATCTAATTGTTTTATTTTCAATCTATGTATCAATCCATCTGCCGTCACCTAACAATCGCAGGTATAGTAATTGTTTCAGTTTAGCAATCTAAGAGAAAGAAAACTACAGGACCTAGTTGTGTGTAAGCGTCATGCTGCCTTGCTCGATTGGACGAAATGACGCTATATTTGAAGCATTTAGCATTTCGCTTTATAACGCCAGTAATGAAATCCAGCTGCCTATTTTCTTCACTGTTTGAAAAACTATCGAAGGAACTATGGTCCCATTTCAAAACAAATTTATATTACACGTTAAGCCGTAGCTAGATAGCTAGTGAGAGGGTGGCCCGAGGGGGGCACTCCCTAATATCAAAGGGCGGGGGTCCTTGGCGTCCCTTTTAGGGTTTGAAATCAGTATTTTGGTCCCGCTTAGGGTGATCATGACAAGAATTCCTACCAACTGAGTTTTGTGGTCCCTCTTAGGGTATACGGCGACCCTAAACAGTCATAAAATGGCAACGTCGTCATAAACTCAATACGAGCCGACGGTGTTCGATGATTGTGTAAAAACACAAATAAAATCGGTAAACCAAAACAAAATGACCTGTTATTGATTGGTCCCTTTTCGGGTTGAAATTTCAGCACTGCCACGCCCATCATCTCACAATAGGGGTCCCTTTTAGGGGTCATTTTCACAATCTCCGCCGAGGATCACCGCCCTTTGATATTAGGGAGTCGTCCCCCCGGGGAGGGTGGGGACGGGAAGAAAATACATGTAAATAAAGATGGAGAGCAATATCCTGTGTCTCTGTCCGGTATTCTGTCTGTCTGTCTGCAACGATTTGCACAACACTTGTCCACATTGTCGGCTGTTTGACTTGGTAAGCGATTCATTATTTTTTAATTTTGCATTCCTTGAATTTCTTTCTTCTCTAACCAAGTGTTAGAGGGAAAGTACAAAATTTGAAGAAAAAAAAAATCAATCAATAAAAAAAATAACAATGATAATAAACCTGGTCTCTTATAGGTCGCTTATGAGAGTGACGTTCTAGAGAGTCAGCTGTCTATTGTTTACCTTTGTCAARATCAGCCCATTGAGTGACAACCTGTCGATCACATTCTCTTTCTTCCTTCAGATCTACCTTTGTCCCGATCACAACAATTGGAAACTAAAAATAGACCATTTAATGACATTTCAACATATTATTATGACAGACATTGTTTGATATATTTAATCAGTGTAGTAGTGGCCAAGCCCCATGGAACACACACACACACAAAAAGAAGAGTCCAAAGATTTGCAGAGGAAGGAGGTTGGACAGGTTGCTGCAGGTTTGAAGATGGGAGGGGGTATGCAATAGATAGAAATCAGTTTCAAAATTATTGCAGCTGCAGAAGATTCAATTCCATTGAGCATTGGAAGGGGGATCAATTAAAGCAATTACAACTGTTTGCAAGACAACCTCGTTTTGTTAGCATCAGAGGTTGAAAACTATAATCCATCAAACATTGCTACTTACATCACGCCCCCTGAATCTTTCTATGTCTCTCTTCATGTTTTGTACAAGGTGGAATGATCTCTTTGATGTTACACTGTACACTAATACAAATCCCTGACAGGAAATGGACATACTGTGTTATGT